GAGGTAAAGTGACTTTCTCAAGGTCATCCAGGCAGCAAGTTGAGTTGAGTCACTCTTCTGCCTTGTCCTGCTTCCCCGAGAGGGGAAGTACAGAAAATAGAAAACAATGATTGTTTTTAAAAAATAGTATTCATTCTTAAGGTTCTGGCACCTTCCACACACCTACCTTAGGCCTGTATGTTTAGGATCTGATACTGAAAACTGACCAGTTCAAGTCCACATACCAAGGCCAGTGGCTGGGCCACCGTGAGAAAGGTCATTGGTGGTCTCTATCCTTAACCAATCCCATGCTGACTGTGTGCGTGCACATGCTGGCACACACATTGATTACGCATGTGCCATCTTTCATATATCCATATGTATCTTGGCTTCCAAATTCTGATTTTGAGCTTCAGCTTCCTCACATCGAAAACAGGCATACAAGTACATAGCTCGTAGGTTTTTTGTCAAAATTATAAAGCAGAGATAGAATGTTGTTGCACATTGTAGATGCTCAGGAAATGGTAATTATTATGAGTGATTTAAAAATACCATTAATGGTAGATACTACCTTTCAAGTCACTTGTTTCATAGACATGTCAGATTTCAGAGCTGGGAGATACCTTGGAAACCATGTGGTTCAAGCCATAGATTTTACCGGTGAGAAATACAAGGGTAATGGAAGGCCACTGAGACAGCTGGGAGCAGAAGTGAGAAAGCCCATCACCCCTGCTTCCAGGTCATGACACCAGGAGGATGAAGGTCCAAATCACTTGTGCAGGTGTCTGCTGAGCATCCCTTTGTGAGCCTCCCTGTTGATTAATTCCAGTCAATCATCAGCTTATCAACTTTGTTGGCCATAGAGAGAATCTGACTTAATTGGTTTGGGGTAGGGCCCTAGCATTAGGATTGTTTAAAAAGCTCTTTAGGGTGACTCTCAAGTGCATCCAGTGTTGAAAGTCAGTGTCCTGTATGTTTTGGATTCTGTGCTTTTCCTTCCCTTTCCATTCATCCCATTATTGTCCTAGTTAGACTCCCAAGTCATCTTGATGGTGGCAGTGGCCCGACCCGTCTCTGCACCTCCCTGTTTGTTATGGAGAACATGCAGGACAATCTCTGAAATGCAAGTTGCAATATCCCCCTGCTGCAAACCTTTAGTGGCTGCATCACTGTGTGGAAGGCCCACGCCCTCAGCACAGCACAGAAGGCCCTCTGGATTGGAGCCCTGCCCATTTCTTTGGCCTCGTCTCCAGGGGTTGCTGGAATCTCTCCCATTGTGATCTAGTCATGCTGAACAATGTAGAAATGCCTTCTGCCTCCCCCCATCTTTGTCCCTTCAGTTAGCTATTCTCTTGAACTGGATGCTTTCCCTCCCCCCTCTGAGTCCCTGGACCAGTTCCTGCTCAACCTTGAGGAGGAAACTCGGGGGCCCAACTTCCACCCCAACTTAGGACCAATCCTTTGTGCATGTATGGCATCCAAGGTCCTCCTGTATCCTGGTCCTTACATTGAGTTGATATAACCTTTGCTCCACTGGAAGGGGAACCTAGAGTAAGGACCATACCTTGTCCATCCCTATCACATGGTATGTCCTTGTGAGCCTTGGAGAAATTAATGGCTCACACCCAATGCAGGTAGAGTGTTCCCTGAAGACATCCCTAAGAGGTGTATATAATAGGTGCTTAATAAGTACTTGCCAAATAATTAAAACCATTTCCAATCAAGAAGGCCACATTCACTCTGATGTTTCCATTATAAATATATATATTTTTTAATTTAACAATACTGATTAACACAGGAAGTATTCATGGAATTGTGCATATGGTCATCGGATACATTGCAACATGTTAATTTCTTTATCATTTATGGGCACCGTCAACAGAATACTGTAAACAAGATCACTTGGTATGTGGAAGTTGGCGATGGTCGATGCTCCCTAGCTGTGGTTTTTCTACCATGAGCTAATACACACACACACACACACACACACACACACACTATATAGATAAATATAGATATATTAATGTGCACAATTTTGCATGGTTACTGTCAATAAAAATTATTAAAAAACACCCATTTATAATAAAAGGGAGGATATGCTAAGACACACTATTACTGGACCTTTTTGTAAAAGTAACAAGATTTGCTGGAGACATTTACTAAACTGTATAGCACTAATGTGTGATGGATCCATTTCCAGTCCCTCACCACAGAAGCACTTCTCCCTGGGCTCTGCCCTATAGGGTACCCTGTCCACTACCCCCAGCCACCTAGAGTTTTCCCCAGCCTCTTCCAAGTTCCTACAATCTTTAGCTGTGCTGGGAATTCTTTACCTTGACATTTTCCCATCCAGAGCCTCCCAAAAGCCGATGTCTCAGGAACTCTTCTTTGTGCCCCAAGCCAGTAAGAACTTGGTAAACAACTTAAAAAGTTTTACAAGAATAACTTCCTTTGTAAGGAGTGCATACGTTTAGAAATAATTTTCTAGATAAAGTGGTTTCATTTTCTGTCAGTGCCCTCTGGCGAGAGAACAAAATATTGGAGCCACTCTCCACCAAAGAGTACCAAGTTTCTAGGTGTGCCTTAGTTTAAAAGTCTTCTGGACTCCAGGAACCCTCATTGTATGTTTGTAACCAGTGCTGAAATTCTCAGTAGGTATCATGGTTATGCCAATAAAAGAATTATGCTTTGGTTTGTATTTTGTTTGTTTGTTGAACAAGGCCTTGAATCTAGATCCCCAGTGAAAGGTATGAGACCATGAACTGGTAGGCCTTTGCACATGGTATTCCCTTTCTGCAGCACTTTTCCTTGCCTTGTCTGTTTGGTGAACTCTTGCTCATTCTGCAAATCCTATTCAAATGCGACTTTCTTCTTGAAACCTCCTCTGATCCTTAAGTGGATTGGGGCACTCCCTCTGATTTCCTGATGCTCCTGTACATACCTCTGTCATAGCACTTGCCACTTGGCTTTAATTATGGGTTTAAGAGTCTGTTGTCCACAGTAGGATGTGAATCCCTTGAGAGCAGGGACCATGTTTTATTTCACATTCGTAATCCTAGTGCTTAGCACTAGGCCTGGGACAGAGCAGGTGTTCAATGCTAGTTTCATGAATGAATGATTTAATAAATATACAAAAAAGTGAAACCTCACAGAAAGGGGAAAGCATAGATCTCCACTTAGTCATCAGGGTCAATGGCCTTAAACACAGCAGAACTTTAAAGCAATGACTTAGCACTGACTGCAAGAATGCAAAGTGAACAGGAACTCACAGATCTGTCTGTGCCTGTTAGGCATGTTAGTGCCTTTCCTTCTCAATAAAACCAGCTGGAAGACCAAGTCCGCTAAAGAGTACAAGCTGAAAGAAACCGCTTTGAGATCTTTGGATGATTATTAAAAGAGCAAAGTGCTGAATGGAGAACCTTGATATGTCCATCTTCCCAAATGGGCAAGTAAAGCATTGGGAGATGAAGTGGCTTCCTTTTGGAGAGAGAACATAAAAAGCCAGACTTTCTTCATCTCCCTGCCAAACAGTCCTCAGTGCTGTGGGACTACCAGCTGCTTCTTTTAGGAGCCTGATGGTAGGAACTTAAATCAGTTCCAAGAAAGTCTATATTTCAGGAGAGTTCCTTTAGCTTCAGCCAAGGTGCATTTAAGCCTTCAAGTACCACGTGCCTGGTAATCTCCACACTTGTTCCAGTTAGAAAAACTTCTGACTGGAGTGGCAAAGACAAGGAAACCACCTTGAACCAACAGCCTGATTTTTTTCCTTCATGGACCTCTGGTGCCTTTAATTCATCATGCTTCCCTCAAGAAGAATCTCGTTTAGCAACTGACTGCCTTTGATAGAACAGCAAAGCTATTCCTATGTTTTCTCAGAAGTGTAGCAAAGAAGGGTGAACAAAACCTAGAGAAAGAGCCTCCTGGGTGAGGAGTCCAAAAAACAGACCACAGGTGACTTGGAGACAGGAAGAAGTCACCTGTCCCAGGCCCTGGGCTCATGTTCCAGGGAGCATGAGCTTCTTGTACTTCTGATTCTTCAGCTCACGTGTGCCCCTGTGTGCCCCCTTCTCAGGCTGCAGTTTTGTTTCCAGAGGCTTCAGTTGACATGTAATGGGGAGAGAGCTTGGTGGGATGGAGGACAGCAAGTAAGAACCATCCATGATGCCACCTGGGCAGTCTCCAAAGCCCATCAAGGACAGAAGTCACAGATCAGAAGAATCCCCAGATGCACAGGGAGGAGTGGTCAAAGTCTTGAGAAGACCCCTTTCCACACCCGTAGCTCAATTCTAACATTTCTACAATCCTGCCTTCATATGATCTGTCCTGTCCTTCACTGGACTGTGCTTGGACATGCTTGGATTTCCATGGGTTGGGTGAGGGGTGAATATGTTTGCATAGGGCAAGTGAGCCAACATTCTTTTTAAAAAATAAGTTCTGTTTTAAAGATTTTATTTTTAGAGAGGGGGAAGGGAGGGAGAAAAGGAGAGAAATATCAGTGTGTGGTTGCTTTTTATGCACCTCCAACTGGAGACCTGGCCTGCAACTCAGGCATTTGCCCTGAATGGGAATTGAGCTGGTGACCCTGTGGTTTACAGCCCACACTCAATCCTCTGAGCTACACCACCCAGGATGGGAGCCAACATTCTTGATCACAGAATATGGCATTGAGGGGAACTGGAATCCAGGGGCCCCAGCTACCCTTCCCAGGAGCAGGTGTTATTCCCTTGGCTGGTTTCCAAAGAAATTGGTGTTTGCAGTAGGTAGATGAATGGGGCCTCATGGCCCATCCTCAGACTGGAGCTCAAACAGAATTTCTGAGCTTAGACCAATGGTTATTATTGGCTCTGCACAGAGGAAAACCAAAACCAGTCCCTCCCTCCTCTCCCCTCCCCACAAGCCACCAAAGGTGTCTCCTCCCCTCACACCACCTTCCAGTTTTTGCATTCACCTCTGATACTTTAAGTGAAAACATGAATTAGGCAAGCTAATCAATTTGATAGCTGTTGAGATCAGGTGCTTTCCAGACTGTAGTGGAAATGGCTTCTTTACTTGAAGTCAGCTAAGATGTCACTGAAAATATTGATGAACAGGTGTGCATGGTGATCCCTGAAGACCAGGGTGGGACAGAAATGAGTGGATTTGTTGCCACAGCCCCCCAACACCACGCCTGAAAGAAATGGCAGGAGGTGTTAGCAGCTTGGGCTCAGAGTTGCAGGCCTGTAAGGGCCAGCAGGATAGTTATGCATTGGGCTACCCCCACCCATCCATGACATTTTTGCCATCCAGGTTTCTGGCTGTCCTTCCATCCAGCCATCTGCATTACCTCTCTCTTTCTTCATCTCAACCAGCATTCTTTTCCCTCCCTCCTTTCCAACTTTGAGTGCCTGCTGTGCTGTTCCTTAACTAGGTCTGGTGGTAGAGAAATCCTGAGAAAGTCCTTGCCTTCCAGAAACTCATGGTGTGGGGAGAAAGAAAATGAGCAAACAAGTAAGTTAGAAAAAGGTCAGAAGCATGCATGTTGGGCTCAGCCATCACTCATGAGGGACAGACCCCTTATTTTAAAGGGTGACTTTACCATTGATTTGCTGGGTGTCCTTGTCTTGGTCGCTCAGCATCTCTGACACTAAGCTTTCTCTTTTAAGCAGGAGGCACATCATCCCTACTCTTTAGGGCTGGTACATGGGTTTCCATAAAATGGTACAAGTGCAAGACCTTGCTCAACACATAGTAGGTGCTCTCACCTCACCACTATATCCCCCCACTTAAAATTCTCCCATGGCCTCTCCTAGCTCTTAGGAAAACGTCCAGAATCTTTAATCTGATCCACAGGCAGATGCAATGTGGGCCGGATAGCCCCTCCCCAGCTTTATTCCCTAGCCCATTGGTCCCCATTCTTTTAGTTTCTCCAGCTCTATCCTGGTTCAGGTAATTGTATGTGTCCCTCCTTCACTCAGAATGCTCATCCTGACCTTCTGCACTGAGTCAAACCCTGTCCATCCATCAAAGCATAAGTTAAAATGCCACTTCCTCAAGGAAGCCTTCCCTGATTTCCTGGACTTTTCCACCAGCTACTCACTCTCTTAGGCCTTTTTCCTAGGATTTATAAATGCAGCTGGTTGTTCATGAAATATTCTCTTTAATGTCACTCTTTTGCTGGACTATAAGCTCCTTGAAGGAAGGGACCCTTGTGGTCTTGTTCATCACTTTGTCTCTAGTGTTGGTGCCAGTTCTTTGGTGAATTTCTGGTGAATGAATTAGTGCATGAGGAAAATCCCCCTAGTAACTTTCTCTTCTTTTGAAAAAGAACATTCAGAGTGTCTTCAGTCCTGTGTGCCATCTGCCCTCCCCTACCAGGGTAATGTGGGATACCGATTAAGCCCACTTTCCATTTCTGGTCACCTAACCTTTGTTTCTGGCTATTAAAATGAGTTTATTCTGTGTGGATTCATCAAAGGAGCATAAGGTGCTTTGTCTCTTACTCTGCTGATGAACTGAGGGTACTGGGCAATGGAGGAAGCAAGGCTGGCATCAAAGTCTGTTACCTTGTAGCAGCTGGTTTAGTGGGTGTGGTTCCTCAAAGGACCCCCAGGGTCCTGCCTTTGGACCTCTGCACAGGCTGGCAGTATCACTGGGGTTTGGAGCTCTGGCTCTAGAGACATTCGGTCTTGGGTTCAAAACCTTGGCCCCTTCTTACCATGCAACCTTGGGCAAGTCATTTAAGTGGCCTGTGTCTCAGTTTCCTCTTCTGTAAACTGAAGGATAAAAGTGCTATTATGCTGTGATAAGAATTTAGTGAGACAGGTTCTAAGCCCAAGGCCTGGCCCTTCGTTAGGCACTCAACACATGCCAGCCATAATTATTTATGAAAAAGCACTCAACACATGCCAGCCATAATTATTTAAGAAAAGTGGTGATGGATTCTTCTAGGAAAAAAAGCTCATATTCAAGGCTTTGAGGTTGGGAATTATAATGGGATGAATAGTGGCCCCTCCCCAAATTTGTATGTTGACTCAGAACGTGTGACTGAGACCTTGTTTGCAAATAAGGTCTTTGCTGATGTATTTAGGTTAAGATGAGGTTATACTGGATTAGGGCGGGCCCTGAATCCATCATGGCATTCTTATAAGAAAAGAGAAATTTGGTCATAGACATGTACAGAGAGGGGAGAACGCCATGTGAGAACAGAAGCAGAGATGACAGGGAAGCAGCTATGAGCCAAGGAATACCAGGGACCACCAGCAACCATGAGAATCTAGCAGACTGGCCTGGGATGGATGTTCTCTCAGAGCCTCAGAAAGAATCAGTGCTGCAGATATCTTGATTTCAGACTTCTGGCTTCCAGAATGATGAAAACAAATTCTTATTTTAAGCCACCTGGTTTGTAGTAGTTTGTTACAGCAGCTCCAGGAAACAAATACAGTATCCCAAAGTAAAAGTTCTTGGTTATTCTCCACTCTCCATCATCCATGTGAAAGAGAGCAAATTGGGGATGGACAAGCAATAATAATTTCAGGTACTGGGGGCAGAGATGGGGGACAAGTGTCATTTTGTTACAGCCCCTTGGTAGGAATTCGGGTGATAATAAAGGCCCCACAGGTGTGCTAGGAACTCTGCTCAGCATTTATACGCATGTTCTTGATCCCCTACACCACTAGTGAAGGACCCATTTTGGTCTCCACAGTAGAGGAAGTGAAGCTCAGAAGTCACTCCAGCACTCACTCTATTCATCCTTGCACTTGCAAATTGGCTGGGAACCAGTGATAGGAACACATTCCTGTCTCCTTTCAGAGTGTAGAGGCCAGGAACAAAGCCTCATCCATTTGGGCACCCCTTTGTGGCCCTTGTGGCATGCGTGCTCGAGTGCTCACACACACACACACACACACACACACACACACACACACACACACACAGAGTAACTGTTTGATTAATGCAGGAGTGGACATCCCCATCTGCTGCGCACTGAATGGCTTTGAATGTTTCCTCTAGGCCTTTATATCTATCTATCTATCTATCTATCTATCTATCTATCTATCTATCTATCTATCATCTATCTATATCCTTTTGTCTCACCCATTTGTCTAGTTCCTTGTTTTAGGGCATTCCTTTAATCTTAGCTCCTTCTTGCCTAAAGCTTTTTAATGCCTTGGTAAGGATGCCTAGTCGCTCCCATTCCTTTAAGTGAGCCAGCTCAGGGCTTCTAAAAGCAAAGATGTCAGTCTTAAGAGGCTCTGCAGTGTTTCCATGGAAGCCTTTTTTGTGGCATCATCCTGCATATGGAACCCACTATGCACCCTGAGAAAGAAGACACCTACTAAGAAGAGCTCCTGGTGGCTAACATGACTGAAATTAAAAATAAACAACGACAAAAAAACCCAAACAAAACCAGAGGCTAGCAGCTATTTTTACACAGGGGCCTCATGCAAAAGCCTGCACAGAACTACTGACCTGTGTGCTGAATTGCCTTCCTGCATTCCGTTTGTGCCACCAAAGCAAGCATTTATAAAGAAGTTCCTGGAATTCTATTTCAACCAATGGAACTGAGGCTTTTCCTATCCAATCAGAGCTGAATAGATTTGACCAATCAGGGTGGCTTGATTCTGACCAATCAGGACAGGGCCTTCAGACCATTCAAACTGTGATGATTTGGAGTCATCATTTGCATTAGTACAGATCAGTCAGCGTTCAGGGTGGGGACTTCTGTCTATATAAGCCAGCTTCCTGCTTGCTGTGAGTGCACTTTCCCTTTCTACCTGTTATTATAAGCTGAACAGAGCAAGCAGAGCAGAGCTGGGTAGTTGGAGAGGGGCCTGGACCCTGGGCTGCCTCACAGACATGCTGTGTCACACTTGAGCTATTTTGCACCTGAGTAAAGTTCCATTTTTCATCTCACTCCAAATTGAGGGTTCTTGCTGGCAGCTGAATTGGTGCCAAGGACCATCAGTGGAAACCTCTTTGGGAAACACTGTCCTCAGATCTGGACAGGGAGCAGCCATGTTTATGATATCCCAGAACAACCACATCCCCACCCAACTGGGCCCTGGCCACATTATCATCTGTAAGCAGGGCCCAGATATCAGCTAAGGAAATAAAGGCAACCAGTAGTTTCTCCTGCCCCACTGGAGGACGGTGAAGGAGCACCCCATCAAGAAAGAAGGGCCTGACCCATTGCAGAGGCTTTTTCTAGTACCTGTCCCTGCCCAACCTCAATTCAAATGCAAATCCACCCCATAAAAGAAAAAGAGGACTTCTGGTCAAGATAGTGGCATAGGCAGGCATGGCTCACCTCTTTGCATAACCACATCAATATTACAACTAAAATGTAGAACAACCATCACTCAGAACTTTCAGAAAATTGAGTTGAATGGAAGTGTGACTACTATGGGATTAAAGAAACCACATTTATCCAGACTAATAGCAGGGGCACACGCAGAATGGGCTGGTCTCTCACCCACATGTGATAGATATAAATTCAAGAGGGATATCTCAGGAGCTAAGGGTCCCAGCCCTACACTAGGCAACCCAGCCTATGATTCCAGTTCCAGGAAGGTAAGTCCCCACAACTTCTGGCTACAAAGACCAGTGAGGATTAGGTCAGTGGAAGAAACCACTAGAGCCCCCAAGCAGCTTCTTTTTAAGAACCCGTGCATGGACTGACCTTTTCAGACTCACTCCTTCTGAGCTTCAGCACTGGGGTAGCATCTAGAAAGGCACCAGTGGCATACTGGAGAAAAGTGAAGAGTATCAAGGCTAGCAGAGGCCCTTGTCCCGTTTCTAAACCTTCCCCCTACAGAGCTGGCAAGCTGATGTGATACATGAGACTCCATCAACCTGTCTAACACAATTTGACTCAGTTTGGAGATCCCCAGAAATTCCACCCAACCTAACTTATGGACACACCCAAGCTGCCTTTCCATATGAATGGCTAGTCTTGGCTCATGCTGCACAATTCCCTAAATTCTATTAAATAAGCAATACCTGGCTTCAGTGAACCTGAAGCCCTGCATTAGCAGCACCCGGCCTAGGTTCACAGCTTGCATTCACCTGGGAATCTCCAGGCCCAGCACAAAGCAGCCATCTCAGATTGCCTTATAGTGCAGGCAGGGTGGCCCTGGCAAAATATAGGTGGCTGCTGACCTTGGCCTGCACCAACCAGGAAGCCCCAGGGCTAGTGTGCCTGTGGACAGCTACAGACCATATCAAAGCACCACCACCTTGCCCCTGCACAGCTGATCCTCCACAGAGGGCTGAGGTTGGTGGTCGGTGGTTATAGACAATCCTTGTAGCTGATTGGACTGGGTAAATTCCTCCAACTGACCTACCAACAGGAACCAAGGCTCAGCTACAACAGGAGGGTGTATTCAGCCCATACAACAAGTACATCTTGAGTACCCAGCTTGGGAATAGGGGAGACTGTGCCACTGGATCCTACAGGAAAACTACTACCTTAGGGCACACTACCATGTCATGGAGTCAAAGCTCTATCTATACGTAGAAACAAACACAGGGAGGCTGTCAAAACAAGGAGACACTGACCAGAGGGGAGAGGGAAGGGAACTTAAGGGGAAAAAGAGGGAGGGATTTTGAGGAACAAGTATGAAAGACACAGAGATGAGGACTGGGGGGGGGGGGGGAGAATGGGAGGGAGGGGGGAGACCGGGTGGGGGGGTGGGGTGGGATGGGAGAAATAGACAAAAAAAAATGTACTTGAAACGTAACTAAATAAAATTTAATATTAAAAAAAAAATTAAAAAAAAACAAACAAAAAACAAGGAGACAAAGAAACGACCCAAATGAAAGAGCAGATCAAAACTCTGGAGAAAGAGCTACACAAAATGGAGATCAGCAATATATCAGGTACAGAGTTCAAAACATTGGTTATGAGGATGCTCAAGGAACTTGGTGAAGACCTCAATGGTATAAAAAAGATCCAGCCAAAAATGAAGGATTCACTAATTGAAATAAAGGGCAATTTACAGGAAATCAACAGTAGAGTGTATAAAGCCAAGAATCAAACAAACGATTTGGACATAAGGAAGCAAAAAACAATCAGAACAAGAAGAAAGAAGAATCCAAAAATATGAGGAAAGTATAAGCAGCCTCTAGGATCCCTTATACAGCAAGGGGTCCAATGTTCTCATCATAGGGGTTACAGAAGGAGAAGAGAAAGAACAAAAAATTGGAAATCTATTTGAAAAAACAATGAAAGAGAACTACCCTAATTTGAAAAAGGAAATAGACATGCAAGTCCAAGAAGCACAGAGTCCCAATTATAGATGCAAAGAGGCCCACTCCAAGACACATCACAATTAAAAGGCCAAAGATTAAAGTTAAAGAGAGAATCTTAAAAGCAGCAAGAGTAAAATAGTTGCTTACAGGGGAGTTCCCATAAGACTATCAGCTGATTTCTATTTTATTTTATTTCATTTCATTTCACATCATTTCATTTCATTTATTTTTAGAGAGAGAGGAAAGAAGGGAGAAAGAGAGGGAGAGAAATTGCAGTGTGTGGTTCCCTGTTTCAACCAGCCAGGGCTCAGCTGATTTTTTAAAAGAAACTCTGTAGGCTAGAAAGGATTGGCAAGAAATATTCAAAGTCATGAAAAGCAGGCACCTACAGCCAAGATTTCTGTACCCAGCAAAGCTATCAGTTAGAATCAAAAGGCAGATAAAGAGCTTCCTAGACAAAACAAACAAACAAACAAACAAACCTAAAGGAGTTTGTCATCACCAAACTATTATTATATGAAATGCTAAAGGGACTAAGTTAAGAGAAAAAAGTTCACCCCAGCTGGTGTGGCACACTGGATTGAGGGCTGACCTGCTAACCAAAGCTTGCTGGTTCAATTTCCAGTCATGGCACACGCCTGGGTTGCAGGCCAGGTCCTCAGCTGGGGGAGCGTGAGAGGCGACCACACCTTGATATTTCTCTCCCTCTCTTTCTTCCTCCCTACCCCTTCCTCTAAAAATAAATAAATACAATCTTTAAAAAAAAGAAAAAGAAAATCAAAACTATGAACATACATAGGAAAAAATACATACCTGTCAACAATTGAGTCTAAAAAACTAAGCAAAAAAGAATAGAGACAGAATCATGGATATGGATTATGTTTTGAGGGTTCCAGATGGGGGCTGGTATGGGGAACTGGGTGAAGAAGTGAGGGGATTAAGAAGTACAAATAGGTAGTTACAGAATAGCCATGAGAATGCCAAGTACAGTGTAGGAAATGAAGTAGCCAAAGAACTTATATGCATGACACATGGACATGAACAGTAGAGGGGGGATTTCTGAGGGAGTACTGGGTGGATGGAGAACAAGGGGGAAAATTCAAGATAACTGTAATGGCATAATCAATAAAATACAATTAAAAAGAAAAGAACAAGAAATTTACCTAGAAGGTCTGTGTTGTCTTAACAGCCCAACTTAACCACTCCATAGTCTTTGCAATCAGGCATATCTGGGTTTAAAATCTGGCCCCCTTGCTGCTTTTCACCTTCCCAAGCCTCTTTTTCTCATGTAGAAAATGAGAATAATCATATTTTCCTAAGTTCAATTTGTTCTGAGTTAAGGTTGTCAGATAAAATACAGGGTGCCCAGTTAAATCTGAACTTCAGATAAATAACTTTTTAGTATAAGTATGTCCCAAATGTTGCATGGGGTATACTTTTATGCTAAAAAAAAGTTGCTGTTTTTCAAATTAAGCTGGCATTTTATGTTGTAATTTGCTAAATCTGGCACCCCTGCCTAGGGGCAAATGGTAGTCCTTGGAGCTGCTGCCTCTGCACCTGCTGAAGGAGCAGGTGCGCTGCCATGCTGGAGGGCTCAGATGCTGGCCTGGAGACTGGGGGAGCTATGGGTGGGGTCCTAGGAGAGCTGGGGTGTGGCAGAGTTGGGTGGGTACCTGGAGGTCCAGCAGCCCTGTGAGCAGGGCCTTCCCAGCATGGGCTGCGTTATTCAGCAGGTCCTCCCACTTGATGACATTGATGACCTCGGCCAGCAGCAGGTTCTTGGACGGGTCGCCCAGCCAGGTGTTAAAGATCCGGTATGGCTGGAAAAAGCATGGGGTGTTAGAAAGGTTTACTCATGGGCACACCCTTCAGGGGCCCATGCCTTCCAGAAACACCCTGTCCCCCATTTAAGAGAGAAACAAACTCAGTGAGTATCTACTGAGGGCCAGGGAGGGTTACACATATTATCTCATTGAATTCTCTCTACAACAAAAACCCTGTGGGAAGTATGATATTTGGTCACAGAGGTCAGTTACTTGTGTGCCGGGAAATCCCTCAGTCCTGGGGAAATCAAGATAGTTGGCCCTTAACTGTAGTCATAACTTTATAGAGGAGAAAGCTGAGGTTTTGAGAGGTTGTGATTTTTTTCCAGAAAAAAAAACGAAAAACAAAACACACAGTGCAGGTAGATTCAGGAGTGGATTGATGGCAGTTTGGCCTTCAAAGACAACCCAATTTATTTTTCAATAAATTATTCAGGGTGTCAATGCAGCCAACTAAAACATATCTCCCAGCTTCTTTTGCAGTTAGGAGTGGCCATGTGACCAGATCTGAATCAGAGTGTTAGAAATACAAGAGGTGTGGGGTTTCGTGGAAAGCCTCTGAAGGGGAGGCTCACTTTGTGCTTCCCTTCTTTTTCCTTCCTACTGCCTAGAATGGGATGTGATGGTTGGAACTCTAGTAGCCACTTTAGACCATGAAGCATTCTTGTGGGTGGAAACTACATGCAGAAATGGTGGGAGGAAGGATCCTAAGTCCCTGTTAACTATGTGTGTGTGTTTATGAGAATCCATATTACTCGTGGTGGTACAGTATAGTAGTTAAGAGCTAGATTGTTGTAGAGATAAAAGTACATGAAGAGTACTTAGAAGTGCCAGGCACAGAATAAATGCTCAGTTTATAGCAGCAGTTATTAACACACAGAAAAATTAGAAGGCAGTGGACTGATATGAAGTCAGCCCTATAGAGAGTAGGGGTGATTGAAATCACTGGTTAATTAAATTGATAAGAATTGGCCCTTAGAAAACTTCTGTGACACATTAAGCATCCACTCAGTTCCTGGTTTGTGAAAAAGGCCCAGTTTTGAGAAAGCAATGATACTTCACCCATGTCTCTTCCCCATATAGAAAGGAGGAAAGGGTGCATTAGGCACTCACAGCATTTGGCCTGAACTCCTCCTTATGGAAAGTCATAATCTTCTTGCTGAAGGTCATCACATCTGTAGGGTCACCCAAGCCCCAGTGCTTGTGGGTCTGGAACTTGCTGGTGCAGCCCCTTCCTGTCTGGACCTCATCTACCAAGAAGGCACAGCCATACTGGAGAGAGAGGAGGGAAACACACATCCACCACAACCAACCAACCTCTGACCCAGTCATCCAGCCAGAGTCGGGGTTTTCTAAATTGCAAGCCAAGTGCATGTTTCTGGGCAAAACTAAACAAGCAGACAGTCCCACCAGAGCTGTGTATGAATACTTCCTCCTGCTGCTGAGCCTGAGCCAAACCAGAATGTTGAACATGCCCTGATCCAAAGCCTGGCAGCATTTCACTGAGCATGCTGACCTACTCCGGAGGAAATGTGGCCCTGCGGTGAGTCCTGGCCCTGTCTCTCAAACATCTGCTGTCTTGTTTGGCAGTTCTGTTCATCACCAGAACTGTTCTTTACTTCACATTTTGTTTAAATCAAGTCATGTAGTATAAACTTCATCTGTGAACTTGCTGGTTGGATGTGCCATTTGTACATGTGTGCAGGACATTAAAATAAACACAATACTAATATAAAGTGTGTTCATTTTGCCTGTGCTGAGTGTGGGCCACACTGGGCTGAAAGGTGAGGTGGGGACTCTAAAACGGAAAGGGTAGAGTCTGAGGCCTTCCCAGAAATGCTTTGATTGCAAAAGCCTCTGACTAAGACGGCATGGCTGGATGGAGGCTGGTTTTGCAATAAGATTTCAGGGAAGAATTCCCTGTCTTGTCCCCCTACTCCTAACTTCTCTACCCATGAGGCCAATAGGTAGCCTCTAAACATCTGGAAGTTTGCAAGGATCCCAAAGCTAACCCTTTGATCTGGGAAACCAGCTGGAAATGGCCTGTGGCCCCGACCAGCCTTGGCCAGTGCACTGACCTTCCTGGAGATGTCTCTCAGCTTCCGGAAGAAATCATCAGATGCGTGGTTGTCTCCACCCTCAGACTGGATGGGCTCCACGATGATCCCGGCCACTGTTTTCTTCTTTTTCCGATATTTCACAATCAGATCCTCCACCTGTATCCTGAAGCGTGAAATGACAATGGCTTGTGGAGGCTTCTTGAGCAGCACCCATTCATGGGCGTGTGGGGTCTCATGACCACCTGGAAGTTACGTTGCACATGTGTTTGTGAGCATTTCCAGTGAGCACTGTGATATCCACTTCAAGCCACAAGTGTGGATGGGATGTGTCCTACTTAGGATTTGTGCTGGCCCCTGTGGGGATACAGACTGCTAACTTGGAGCAAATTATTTGACATTCTGGAGCCTTACTTCCCTGATCTATGCAATGAGCATGCTGACAGAATCTGTTGTTATTGTTATATTGTTATCATTATTGGTAGGAGAGTCCTTTCTGTGCAGAACTGGGATGAATATTTGTTTAAAAAGCTGAGGCAAAACTTATCTATAGTGATAGAAATCCAAGCAGTGGTTGCCCAGATCTTGGGGTGGCAGTGGGGGTCCTAGACTGACTTCAGATGAATCCAAGGAAATTTTCCAGGCTGATAAGATGCCCTTGGTTGGAGTGATGGTTACATGAGCATATTTATTTGTCAAAACTTATTGAATTAGGCATTTAAATGACTGCATTTTATGGCATGTAAGTTATGTTAATAAAGTTGAAATTGACTTTAAAAATCTGTTAACAGTGACAGGGTTGTAAGAAAAGTACCTGATTGTCTCTAAGTAGTTATAGTTCTTGAACTCGTGTTCCAATATGGGCATCATCTTATTCATAATTAAAGAGTAGTAACTGTGATACTTTATTAATAATTTAATAAATATACATAATTTAAATACCCCAAACCATACACTTAGATAGATAGAATAACAAAGGACAATCCTTCTCAGTTATGCAGAACTAAGGAAAAAACCTTCTGTTTGGATGATGTGATTTAGGCCTCGTTCTCCACCAGTCCCTCCATGGGAGCTCTGAGATGTTTTTCTTTACTTTCAGAGAATTGTTTGCAAGTTGTCATTTCGTGCTTATTTTCTTACTTGTTCAGTGCTGTGTTTCCTACTACTGGGCACTCTCTGATAAGATGGCCACGAGCCCCATGGGGCTACTGAGCACTTGTAGTGTAACTGGTCCAAACTGAGATATACCTGAGTATAAAGCACACACAGGATTTCAAAGACTTAATGAGCCCTGGCTGGTGTGGCTCAGTGGATTGAACACTGGCCTGTGAACTAAAGGGTTGTCAGTTCAGTTCCCGGTCAGGGCACATGCCTGTGTTGCGGGCCAGGTCCCCAGTGGGGGGCACATGAAAGGCGACCACACATTGATGTTTCTTTCCCTATCTTTCTCCCTCACTTCTTCGCTCTCTGAAAATAAGTAATAAAAAAATATTAAAAGATTTAATGCAAAACAGAATATAAAACTATCTAACCAATAACTTTTAAGTATAAATTACATGTTGATGGGATACTATTTTGGATGTATTGGTTCCATAAAATGTTAGTAAAATTAATTTCACCCGTTTTTACTTTTGAAATATGTGATTATTAGAAATGCTATTTTATCTTTTTAAAAAAGATTTTACTTATTTATTTTTAGAGAGAGGAGAGGGAGAAAGAGGACAAGGTATGGAGAAAGAGGGAGAGAAACATCAATGTGTAGTTGAGCCTTGCATGCCCCCTACTGGGTGCTGCACCTGCAACTGTGCCCTGACTGAAAATTGAACCAGTGACCCTTTTGGTTAGCAGGCTGGCATTCAGTCCACTGAGCCACACCAGCCAGGAAATTATCTTATCTTATTACTAGAAAGCAAATCTTTCTTTTGGACAGGCTGTTCTAGACTTCATTATCTTCTCTCTTTTATTTGCCATAAAATATCCAGCACCTCACAATTTGCTTTATACCTGGTAGGTATTAACTATTACTTGAAACAAATGATGTGCATAAGGGGCAAACCAGACTGGAAGCTACTCCCTCAGGCATCCTCATTTCAGGCTGCTGATTTTGATTATCTGTAAACAAATAAAAGATTGATATAGCAGCAAATATTTAAAAGGAAAGTACATACTTTTCCTCCTCGTTTGTTATTCTTTTGGAATTGGTTTTGTGGGGAGAAGCCATTGAAAAATTATGGTGGGGCAGCATGGTGACTGAGTACAGGCTGAGGGCTGGCTCGAGTTTGGGTGTGGACTTTTCCATGTAATTGTTGTGTGGCTTCATGCAGGTTGCTTAAGCTCTTGGTGACTCAGTTTCTTCATCCTTGAAAAGGAGGTCAATTCTGTCTTGCAAGATTTGGGGGAGAGAAGGCAGAGCCAGGCACAGAGTTGGGAGCACAGGAGATGTGCAGTGGACAGTATTGCTGTGATTGTCAAACCTCTGCACCTGAGGAAGGATAAAACCTGCCCAGCCCAGGTGGGGCAAGTTGATTTTTGGTGGTATGCAAGAACCTCCTAGGGTAATTACATCCTAGTGTGGATTAGGAAGGAAACATACTATAACCAGCATCAAACTAAGCAATAGTATTTATGAAATTTTGGGCTTGATGTGCCTAGATAGGTATTTAAGGCCAGTGGTATAAATATTTTTAGAAAGATTAAGTGGGAAATAGAGAAGATGAGTGGATTTGGTGTGTTGTGACATTAGTACTGAAGCTCGGTCAACTTGGTAGCCTTGTAGAGGATTCTTGTTCTTGTACTCGTGTTAGATCATCTGAAGATGAATTTGAGATTGAGCATCAGGTTGAAGTAGGGAAGCCAGGTGGCCCACCCTCCAGACTTTTGGAGTTGGCCTTGATTCTCTCTGGATCCCTGTATCCTGTTTACAGAGCCCTTTTGGTTTTCCAGCTGCCACCCTAAAGCAAGGTCTCTGTTGTCTCCCACCAGGGCCTTGCAGTAGCCTTCTTACTGGTCTCCACTTCCACCCTTCCTGATTCCCGCACAGCTATGAAAACAGACTGCACGCAGGATTCTTGTCCCCGTCACTGTCCTTCTTCAAAGGACTCAGATGTGCTGCCTTCCCTGTAGAGGGTCAGTCACACAGCCCAGACTAGGCCCTGCGGGTCCTCAGGATGACTTCCACCTCCTGTGTGCTTCAGGCTCCTGGCAGGCACACACTGTGTCGCATAGGGTGCAACTCGGGGTTCTGGGCCTCACAGTGGTGTAGAAAGCGACACCATTGCTTCTCTTCCTAGAGTGCAAAGGACAGGTACCCCAGGAAGGAGGTTCAAAATCCATTCCGATGCCACTGTTTCCCTAACCCATCTGGTGCCCTCAGCCACTTTCTTTGCTTAAGAACCCTGACAACCTTTTGTCCCAGGGACTCCTGTGAAGTCTCCACTTGTCTACCCATCTTCCTCACTGTTGGGTTGTTTGAGCTGAAGGTGAACATCTCTGTTCCTTCTTTGTTAAATGTACTTGTGGAAAAGACTCTGTCAGGAAGCAGTGATTCTAAGGCTAAACGGTAGTACAGGAGTTGGCTGGCTGGCTGGCTGGCTGGCTGGCGGTTTGTGAAAGAGAGCGCCAAAGCCATAAACCAGTGTTGCTGCAATAGCTGCTAATGCAGTTTTATTGCTTTTAATGTAACTTGCTTCAAATGACATTTTTGATCCTTTTGGAAGAAAAAGCTTGTTTACCAGATAAGGACATTGGCAGACTTTCATAAATTACTGAAGGTTTCTTTTGAGCATTTTCAAAACTGTTTTTGGTACTGTTCAGGTTTTTGGTTGGGCATTATCTGCTTGATTTCCAAGGCAAAGAAATTTTACTGGAGACCAAGAGTTGTAACAAGGTACTTCTTGACTCGTATTGTGACAGAGTCCATGTTAAATGTCACCTGCTTCATAAAGTTCTGGTTCTGAACTAATTTAGATTGGGAGAGTTGGAGGAAGTGGGATTGTAAGTGCCATGTGTAGGAAAGAAGTTACGCCATTTTTTCTAGTGAGTTAACACATGCTTTGGCTAATGAGAAGTCAGAGGTGTTGAAATTCTCTTGAGAAGCAGGCTTACTTCTGAGAGTTGGTGATTTAAACTTGGAAGTTGGAAATGAGGGTAATTAGAAAGTTTTTCGAGGAGGGAGATATACTAACCTGGGCAAGAGCCAAATGCTTCCAGAACTTGATGACGCATTGAGTGAAACTGTCAAGAAAGAGGGTCCTCTGGGAGAAGACCCCCCCTGAGAGAGAGCCTCACTGTCTACATTGTCCAGTGGACAAGAGCTGGAAGTTGAAGACCACTCTGGGGTTACAGTGAGAGATGGCTCACTGCCTGGTGCTGGCTGGGCTGGGCCCTGACCAGGCTGTCCCAATGCCACGTTGTAGCCAGTTTAGTTCTTGGTCAACTGTTGAGGTGTGGGGACCACTGTTGTTAGGTCACAGCTGTTAACATTCACGGGGATGCCCAGATGTGCTATCAAAGAGCCCAAGTTATCTGAGTGACAGGAGCTTTATCTTACTGAGTATTTGAAATGTGAGTGAATATCGTCTGAGTCTCAAGGTGGTGGCCTTTTTTTCTTTTTGGTTCATCGAGAATTTAAATGCTATGGAGAAGGAGGTTCCCTTGTGTGACCACAGTAGTTCTACCTGATTTTCCTGCCTGGCATCGAGTATTTGAAGCTGGCCCTGCCTCTGGTTTGATTTCATGCCAGAGACTAAATTGGTTTTCCTGACATCCTAAAACTGGGAGGGCAATGTCCTGTGTTATGTACCAGCCTCCAGAATATGGACCAGGGGGAAGGTCTGGCTCTCACAATAAGTTGTTCAACTGGCCTGTGGTTTGGAAGGCAGTTGCTGTATGCATTCGTTAGGGTGGCCTGTATTGCAGAGCAAGCTCACACCCTAGGGTGTAGCCGCAGCTGTCTGGGTGGCAATCTCACTTCTCTTGGCTGTCCCTCTTGCCACCCCACTCATGGGTCCTTCAGAAAGAGTTGAAGGGACCACTTCCAAGGGAAACCATGGGGACCTTGCTTCGATGTGGCCGCCGAGTAGACCCTGCCATTCTACAGTCCCTTGTAAAAAGGCCCCTTGTAAAAAGGCTAAGGGCCATTTACCTAGAGTTTCAAGTACATTTCATCAATGTGACTTTGTGCAGTAAATTATAGTTCAAGGCTCTTAATCGACCCTGTGCAGTTGCTGTTTAATTTATTTATCTTTGAAATTTTATAAAAGTTTATTTAAGCCAAACTGGTGACATTGTTGGGAAGCAGGATCTCAAATGCTCACTGCAATTGCTGTTTTTAGATAGAGCAAGCACATGTTAATACTCCTTAACCTTTTTACCTGGCACAGCTCCTTTTAAAATGTAGGGCAGGTAATTTTGAGGTGCTTGTTCTTACAGTTTAGTAGTTTATACCCACTTGGAGGAGAAATTATTCAATCAAGTAAACTGTGAGGTCATTAAAAACATTCCATAGCCCAGATCACTGTTTTATAACCATTACAGATGCTTATCAGATTTCTTCTTCCCAAGAGTCTCAGCCACTTTCTGTTATCTCTTGAGCTTGTGAGGACTAAGGGTGAACAGATAAGGGCTGGAATACCTGACTTGCTGAACTGCCTCAGAAGTAGCTGGTGGAGTGAGGGTACTGTGGCCTTTTTGTGGTATCTTGTCTGCCCCAGCTGGAAGGGGTCCTCAGTTCTTTGGAATCCAGACCACCTGCTGCTGGTATTGTGGGAACAAAGTGAGGTTGGTTTCCTGCTTGAGAACCATCTTTCTCCAGAAAGCCATTTGTTTTCCTAAGGGGAATGGGAAGATGACATGTGGGGCACGGTAAGAAGACTCATAAGGGTTTATTGTGCTGTGCAGTATGGTAGCCACCAGCCATGTGGCAGTGATTTTAAGTTTAAAATTAGATGAAAAATCCCGTTTCTCAAGTGAGCAGCAGCAGCATTTTAAGTGTTGAGTAGTCACACGTGGTGGTGGACGGCTGCCAGTGAACCTATGGATGCGGAATGTGTTGGTGGCCAGTGCTGGCCTAAACACAGTGCTGGTCCAGTGGGATCTTAGGCTAGAAGGTGTTTCTGGTAGCATGAGTGTCATATCGAATATTGGAAAGTGTTCCAGGAAGGATTTCCTGGAAAAGTAAAGTGAAAACGAGGAAAAACATTGAAAACTTACAGATAAGTAGTTATTGGGCAAACCTTTAGAGCTCGGGTTCTCCAGTTGTTTGTGGTACAGACCAAGGTTGTTTTGTTTAATTTTCAGTCCATTGTAGACAGACGGTTCCTCAACTGTATTTGTAGAAACACATACAGTGCACATTATTGAGAAGTGAAATAAAATAGACATACGGAATACAAGCCCCAGGTTATCATTAAATTCAACAAAGATAAAGTTCCATTCCAACAGTTATATTTAGAACAAATAGACATAGGAAGAAAAAAAGTATTGCACAGACTACGTTAGTTTAAAGTGTGTGCGTAGGCCATTAATATAAAGAAATGCTTTGTATTAGAATCCGTCTGCATGACTTTGAAGAGTGCAGCTTACATGGTTTCTTTTCTTTTTTAATTTTATTTTGATTGTTTTTTTTTTTTTTCGAAGATTTCATTCATTTTTAGAGAGAGGGGAAGGAAGGGAGGAAGAGGGAGAGAAACATTCATGGGCTGTTTCTCCAATGCGCCAAACCTGCAACCCAGACATAGACCCTTCCCGGGATTGAACTGGGGCCCCTTTGCCTTGCAGGACAATGCTGACCCAATTGAGCCACACCAGTCAGGGCACTTGAATAGTTTTTGAAGTAACAAATAATCTTGCTTCCTGCTTGGACGGACAGCATCCCTACACCTCAGAGAGGATGGCATCTAAGCAGACTGCTTCTTTGTTTCACTGATACATGAATCATGTGAACCTGGGGCTACAGAGGTAGTGGTGAGAATGAGAGAGATCTTTACAGAGATTTTCCAAAATTTATCTGTGAACAGTGTCAGCTGTAGCTTATAGACTTACAGCTAAATGATCTTTCATCGAAAGAAATGCGTTCTGGATTATATGTACTTTCGGGTTGCAGTTCACAAATTAACACTAAAGTCTGCCAACTGTAGAGTCCTGTGTGACCTGTGCTGCACAAGTTCTGCAACACCCCAGTCAGCCCCAACTGGCCCATGCTTGGATATTTCAGGAAAGTCAGATTGCTAAAAAGTGTTCTTCACTTGGGCAGGCCCACAGAGGGTCACCTGTGCCAACTCCACCCAGGATATCTTTGTTTTTAGCCCCACTCCTTGTGCTTTCTGGTTTTCCTTGTGGAATGGTGTAGTGTAGAATGGTGTAGCCATGCCACAGGACTGGCCTATGCTGGGGAAGGGATGTGTCAGTTTAGGAGAGTCACAGCTGAGTTAGAAAAGAGGGATGGTCTGGAGATCAGAAGCTGGGGATATAGAATAGCAGGAGGAATAGAGACCTACAGGTCTCTCTGACTAGAGGTTTATGATCTGTGCTTGGCTGAATCATGTTCCCCAAAGGCGTCTGTGTCCTCATCCTCAGAACCTGTGACTGTCACATACATGGCGAAGGGGCTTTGCAGATGTGATTAAGTTAAGGGCCCCTAGATGGGGAGATGGTTCAGTATTTTCCAGGTGGGCCCAGTCTAATCAGAAGGGTCCTTACAAAGGAAGGAAGGGGGTTGGAGTGTCAGAGTGGTTTGGTGTGAGAAAGCCATTGCTGGCTTTGAAGATGGAAGGGGGAGCCAAGCAGTGCAGACGGCCTCTAGAAGCTGGAAAAAGCAAGGAAACAGATTCTCCCCTTGAGCCTCCAAAAGGGACATAGCTGCCTTATACCTCGAATTTAGTCCAGTGAGCCTCATTTTCAGACTTCTGACCTGTAGAACTCTAAAAGAGCAAGCGTGTTATTTAAGCCACTGAGCTTGTGCCAATTTGCTTCAGTAGCAATTGGAAACTAAGACAGGATCTAAGGAAGTGGCTAAGAAGGAGCAGGTGGGTGCCCAGTAAACTGCAGGGTTTGAATTTTAGTGACTGCAGTGAGGCTAGATGAGTATGAGGCTGCTAACCCTCACTCTGCCAGGATGTGTGAGGTGCAGGCTGTACCTTTACTAACTCCTTTGCTCCTTCTACAGTCCCGAAATGGATGCTGCCTAAGTAAAACAAGGCATTGAACAAGTTACATCTCAGGGGCAGTGATGGGATTTGAATTCTCCCATTCATGGTTCACAGCCATTTAGGATTCATCATCACCAGTAGACACCATTGGTCATAGAGGTCATGGCCACTGCTCTTTAAAAAAAAGACTTTATGTATTTTTAGAGAGAGGGAAAGAGGGAGAGAAGCACCAATCTGTTGCCTCCTGCCCGTCCCCAACTTGGGACCTGACCTACAACCCAAGCATGTGCCGTGACAGGAAATTGAAACAGTGCCTTTTCAGTTTGCGGGATTATGCTCAACCCACTGCATCCCACCAGTCAGGACACTGCTTATTAACTTAAACACCCCTGCTGCCTTCCCTTGTGTTTCTTCCCTCACCACCCCTCACTGGTAAGCTGCAGTTGGGCTTCCTAGTTTGAACATTTTTGTGTGGTTCACCACATGCTTTGAATATAGAAAGTAGTTCACTGCCAAAGTCGGCTGGGTCCAGCCACCCTACAGTTCAGCAAGTGGAGTAGTGTGGCAGAAGGCACAGAACAAAATACTGTAGTATGAGTTTGTGAAGGTAGATGATTCCTCCCTCTTTTGAGAATTGAAGTAACTGATTTAGATTCTCAGTAACACGTCAAAGATCCTGAGCTGAAAAGAATTATCCCTCCCACTCCCCTGTTGCTAACCCTCCATGTGAGAAGGTACAGAAAATAAGTAGCATAGATGGTAGGTAGAAAATAGATAGGGGGAGGGCAAGATTAGTAGGGGAAATATAGAATCTAAAGAACTTGAGACATGTGGTCATAAACTAAAGGGGGGAATGGTGGGGGAGGGGGTGTGCAGGGCGGAGGAGAATGAAGGGGTGAATAGAACAACTGTAATGGCATAATCAATAAAATATATTAAAACAAAAGAATTATTTTTAAAGCAAACCAGCTGGGGCTCTGGGTATATGGAGAAGGACCAGGTCTTGTCAGCTGGGGCTCAGAGCACAAGTGGGCTGCATTTCAGAGTACCCAGTTCTGTGGATCTACAGCATAGGTG